TGAGGTTAACCACACCAAATGTAGTTTCTCTCACGAACGCCACACACCTAAATGATTCTAGGAATAATAGTTTAGCCAGCACAGATGAAAACAACATCTTAGACCAGAGTTTTTCTGTCTAGCCAGAAGTGAGAAGTTTACTGACAAACATGCCAAGCTAATGTCACACAAAGAGGGCCAGCTCCTTCTTTGTGGTGTGCTCTAACCTATGTTTCACCTGCAAACAGGCAAGTAAAGGCCAATTTGACCATGGACAGTATATGATGAAGGCCACACTGCTCACTGACACCCATTAGAGACCCAGCATGACAAATGGAGATACTCAGCACGCGCTCATTGATTAAATGTGATGTCATCCCTGCACATGGCTGTAGCTTTCATTTGATTCACTTGGTGGCGGTAAAAGAACGATCTGTTAAGTTTCAGTGGCAAAGTGGCGCAACAAAACAGGAAGTGAAAACCGCCACATGGAGTCAATTTCCTTTGCATCTTTGTTAATCATGTAGCGCCCTCATCAGGCGGGGATGGGGCACTGAGCGGACAAGCAATGGGGCTGGTGATGTCAGCCCCAGGAGTGCATGCTGGGATAGATGGGAACTAGCAGGAAAATTGTTAACTCCTGGGACTTGGGGGGAAGGAAAGGGATTTCAGTACATGTAATTCAAGTGTACCTGTGTGACTGTCCCAAGTTTCCCCATCCTGATCTGTAGTCTCAGGTTCCAACCCTGAACAGCCTGGCCTGTGTTAGTCAGGACCACACACCTTTACTGCCTATTACTGGTTGATTGGTGACGGTAGTCTTTTTAAGGATAACAAAAGTGTACTAGTTTGATTAATCAAGTGCTTTTTTTCACTTATCTTTTGTATGTGTTTATTTTTTCAAACATCGGATAAACAGGTCTTGTGTCATGTATGCTATACATGTATGTAGTATGCTTTAATGCATGCAAAACTCATTGCTCACTCTTCACCTCCCAGCATCTTATCTCTGTGGTGCCTGTTAGTTATGCCTGTTTGTTTAAATTGAAAACAGTCAAGTAAAGGTCAATTGCACCACATACTCAACATAAGTCTTTAGAGTTGTAAACAAGACTCATTGACATAGGTCACTAAGATGTCCCTGAAAGATTGAGGAACCCAACATGACCAATAGAGACGTTCAGCATGTGGTTCTCTTTGAAGAAGTAATAGTTCTACATGCAGCTGTAGTTTTCATTTGATCCAGAAGGTGATGCTAAAAGAATGATCTGTTAGTTTGGGTGGACTACTGACTAGGTCAACAAACCAGGAAATGAAATCCTGCAACATGGAGTCACTGTCCTTCACGACTTTATTGATCCTTTGTGCTGCAGCAGGTAAACTGTGCTTACTTTAATTGGGGATTATGTTTATCTTTTATGAAAGCTTTTCTTCCTGTACACTTTTCCTCCCTGCTGTTAAACTGGAAGATCTTCCGTTATTGTATTTTCCAACAATTGTATTATATTTCACGATATTATTATTAACAATACAATATTATTATGATGTTTTAGTTTCTTTTCTGCCATTTCAAATGATGATTAAAGCACCTGAAACTAGGAATGACAGTTAGTTTTGTGCTTCCCGGGCAGAAGTGATCCAGACTGAGTTCAGGATGACTTAAGACAGAGTAGAGCAGTGGTGGGGGACACAGTGGTCTCCGAGCTTTTGCAGTTAAATTTCTGGCAGGGGCAGCAGCTGTGTGGAGTTTGCATGACCTCCCTGTGTTCATGGCTTTTCATGTCCTCCCCCCTCTTGCAAAGACGTGTTAAACCGGTCTGTTAATGATCAGCTCAATTAAAGGGGAACTGCAGTCCCAATTTCTCAGACTGGTTATTAAATCTCGGTTACAAAATAAATAAATTGACCGTGTAGAAAAAAATGGCCAATTTTGAATGAAGCATTTTGTGAAAGTGCTGTAAGTCACCATGTTGTTGCAAACCAATGGTATTGCACTGAACCTGTTTTCCCACCTTGCTTAGTGGCACAGCTACCCAGTACTGCTCTGCCCTGTTAGCTGCACCCGGTTTACAGTCTCAGACCAGCATGCAGAGTTAACAAGTAGTGGTATTTGTTGCAAACATCTCTTTTTTTCTTCATCATGGGTGCTTTGCAGGAACAGGGGTCAGACTGCAATATAGGAAGTAGTTGCCTTCTACGTCAGTTAAAAATGGCATTACATACTGTACAGTACAGTATGTGCATGTGCATTCTATTTCTTTGGCTGTTGATGGGCACATTACATGGTACAGTACATCCTTTCTTCCCTTAGAATTTAAATTCATTTTGTATTTGTAGATCTGTATTTTTGCCAGCAGAAAGAGAGCAGATTGTTTAAAATAAAAAAAAGGAATATAAAAAGTAAACAGAAAATTCTAATAGTACAGGCATGAAAAGTGAAAATGCATTTGGGAGTTTGGTTAGGAATGTGTTTGTATTCCCCATTGTGGTTTTGTTTTCATTATTACCACCACATGTCCTATATTTGTCAAATTTATGTAATTAATAAGCAATATTGCATTGGATAAAAATATATGCATTTTTAAGATTTTTCATTGTTTTAAAATCTGAATATTTGTATAAACATTAGAACACCTTGATCTTCTAGAGGCTGTTTTATGTGTTCTAGTTATAAAAAGACCTACTATACAAATAGCAATGTTGGTGCTTCTCCTATGGTGAAATTGAGAATTTCCTTAAACTATGCCAAATTAATGATCTGTAGTGTGTGTTTATCTTTTCCAGCATTTGAGAAACGGGTCTTGTGTCAAGTGTTAGTATGCCTTAATCATTCACAAATACTACTGACAAATCCCAGTTATGGGATTTCAAAATGTGTATCAAACAGGAGAGAGTAAATGCTGTATCTTTAAAATTTGTCTTTGTGCCACGTGAAGACGTGAAAGACTTGTAAGGACTATACAAGAGTGTTTGGGATTTGAAGCCACATCCTTTCACTCAATCCCAAGTCGAGAGCCAGTTCTTTTTCCAATCCTTGCATTATAATGGTGTACCTTTGTACTCTGAAATCCACTTTAAAAACATGATTGCAAAGATTTTCCTTTAAAGCCACTAAGACCTGCTCATGTCAATAGTTTTTTTTAAAAAAGATTGGTCTTTTAAGATTTTTATATAAGAATTTAACTCTTCATAGTTTTCATTGAGCAAATGTTTTGAATGGATTAATTGCTAAAACACTTTACTTGGTCTTGTAAAGGCTATTTTATGTGTTGTATAAATTACTGCAGTAAAATCGCAATACTGATTCTTCTCCTGTATTAAAATTCAAAATATCTTAAACCCCGCAATCTATTCTATGTGTACACCTTTTCCAGCATTTGAGAAACAGTTATTCTTACCTAGTGCTGTGCTGTGGGTTAGCATGCTTTAATTATTTACAAATACCACTGAAATATCAATTGAGCAATTTCAACAATATGTATCACAAACAAAGCAGTATGTATCTTTTAGAAAAATATCATTGGTCACATGAAGACATGAAAGACTTGTAAGGACTGCTGATATTTTTAAAAACAGTGTGTGTTTAATCTGTAATGTTCATACTGTATATGCATTGTTCATTTCTGTATATGTATGTGTCTTAATATTACAATTAGGATACAGTATTTTCATTGAAGATGTAATATTCCATATTCCTTTTATGTGTTCTAGCTGTACAAGTAACTGCAGTACAAATAGCAATATTGGTGCTTGTCTTATGCTGATATTTCATATTTCTTCAACTATGCCAAATGAATAAAGTGAAGTGTGTGTTTTGGGACCCATGTCTTGTATCACGTGCCTGTGTGTGTTAAATATTCAAAAACACAACTGACAAATCAATCAATCACTCAATCAATCAATCAGTTATGGATTTTTAAAAATATGTATCACACAGGAAAGAGTCACCTTTAAAAATGTCTTTGACCACATGATGACATGAAGGACATTTATACAGTAAGGACTGCTGCCATTTTTAACATAGATTGTGTGCTCATCCTGTAATGTTCATGTATACTGTACATGCATAGAAGTTTAAGACTGGGGATATT